GCATCCCTTTTCAATCCTAACTATAATAATTTTCTTGATGATTAAAGGTGCATACATCTAAGAATCTGATGATGCTATAAGCAAATTGTGTGTCTGAAGATATACTCAGGGCTTGGCCCCAACTGAAATAATCATTGTTCTTTCGAAAAATGTCAGGGGATAAAGCATGAGCAGAGGTAAGTTGTATTCTAAAATCATTTCTTAAATATTACTTATATCAATTTAGAGAAATTACCCATTCCAAAGTCAAAAGATATGGAGACAACTATGAAAAAATCTGTATTTTCCTTACAAAATTACCTCAGTAATTCTATAACAGGATTTATTTATAGCAGTCATAATGCTCAATATCACTTTCTCTCACCTTCCTTCTCTCTAGTTTTATCCTCCTCTAAAGCCTCCACCCGCCAAAGAAGAAAAACCTGCTAGTCTTCCATTACTTGCAATATATACAGATTTTTTTTAATGTGTTAATGGTTTATTCTCGTAATTTACTAAGAGACAAGGGCAAACTCTGTAATAATATGTTCCTTGAATTCAAAGGTTTTACATTTACTAAAGTAGACAAGTTTCAAAAAACTCCAGGGACAGTTTAAAAATAAAGTTATTTTACTAAATTGTTGTTCACCTGTGAGGGCAAACGTTCTTACAGAAAGATAAATACCTAATTACCTCTCTGGGAACTGTCTGGAGTATGCTCTGTGAAGTCATGAATTTTCTATTCAAAAGGCTAAGTCAATCTCAGTCGACTGTTATGATACTGTCAGGGATGCTGATTATCACCATAAACATCCAGTGTTGTGTCCACAGAGAAGGCCCATGTGCAGAAGGAAATGTGTAAATGTGAAGAACAAGCAACTCACAGGGAGCACCAGCTTCTGTGAAAGGCAAGGTATGTGGGATGGAGAAGGATCTCAGCTCTTCTCTGTCCCCTGGAACTTGGCCCTGAAATGCACTGGAGCCCAGAGGGGTGCATCTGTCCCAGGACAAAGAACATTCCCTGTGGCTCCTCACACACACAACTCCAAGGAAGCCACTCAGTTGTGGCCCAGGCAAGCCTTGCGAGGGGTGGCCTGCTCCTCTCCTTGTCTTCACTGTCCAGTGAAGAAGCGGAGCTGCAGAGAGGCCGTGACTCAGTGAGGTCAGAGTTCCATCTGCGTGCAGGCTGACAGAGCACCCCAGGGCCTGGGGCCATCCCGAGAGTTTGACAGGCGACTGGGTGGTGATTTCCTTTACAATTTGGCACCCAGACAATCCATGTGCTGGAAATTATTAACAGACTGGAGACTCTGGCCCTGCTCTCAGCGAGCGCCATGGGTGGAAGGGAAACCAACAGGCTGCACAGCCCGTTCTCACATGCATCGGCCTGAAGGGCAAATCTGGAGGAGAAGCATCCCTCTCATCGTCCTCAGCGTGACACTCAAGAGATGCAAGGCACAGGAAGGCATCTCCTCATCCTCTGGGAGATTCCAGAGAGTGGAGAGGCTGGAACAGACCTGCTGCCCTCACCTACAGAGTCTCAGGATGCCTTTTTTGCTTCTTCAATGTACAGAGGACACCAAAGAATTTACGTTCGTGGAAATTCTCTCTGCAGTACTTGTCATTTTAGGAATTCAAACCAATGGCTAGGGAAGTAGCTCAAAGAACTTCAGCAAATGCTTCGCACCAGGAAGCCTGGAGCCCAATTCCCAGTGCCACCTGGTCCCCACCATAAGAACCAGCGGGGTGGCTCTGGTGACCCCCGCAATCTATCAACCAATCAGTATCTGCATTGACAGCCCAAGCGCCACAACTTCAGGTCTGCACCACTGGGCTGAGTATCATAGGGACTGACTCCATGGGCCCCTTGAGCACTGCTTGGGAGTTTCTGTGTGAAACTCCCACACACAGGAATTTAAATATTAGAAATCATTTCCAAATAGTTATTGTATGTTAACATAATCATGTGCCTATGAAAAAAAGTATATTTCCCTCCAGTTAAACTCCTTTGGTGTCTAGCCTTTTTTTTTTTTTTGCACGTCTTGTTTGTCTTTATTTCAAAGAAGACAACTGGCTTTTCATCTTCTGCTAAATTCAACATGTGAGAAGTTCTGGTTCAGTACATGCAAATAATCTGGCCTCACATGGATATGTTGCTGGAAAAAGGAGCATGTTCACATATTCTCAGATAACCGCAGAAATGATTCCTTGATACCACACTGAAAACGGACAACAAATTGTTTCTTAAAAGTCAGTTGCTATGCGGAATCTGAATGTTTTCTACACTGCCACGTTAAAGTCATTCTTCCACCTTTCCTTTTTTAATGAATCTTTTATCAATGCATGATGTTTTGCTTCATGGACCTCCACTGGAAGATCTCAGGAACTTCAAACCAGGTCACTAGAAAAAAGTCTGTAATTCAACCAAGAAGCAATTCATATTGCCTGGATCTTTACAATGTTTTATTATGGAGACATCATCGATTTACAACATCATATAGATTCCGAGTATACATCATAAATCTATATCTGCTTATAATACATAATGCTTACTACTAAAAGTCTAATTCCATCCTTTAGCATTACAATTTACCTTTTCCATCCAATTTGAAATGTTTATTTTGGTAATTTTTTCAATATCTGCAGACCTGGGATATCATTATAAATTATGAATATAATTCATAATTATTCATATAAGCATATGAATAATGCCAAGATAGGACTTTGATCCCTAAGGACCTAAAATATATCTAATGGAGCTTGGATGAGGTTCAACAGGATAAGACGGAGAACAGACTGAGAAAGATCTAAATATTCTCTGATCCCTGAGTCTGTATTCTGAGAATGGGCAAAACAATGATATCTGGATATCTGGATAATATTTTCTGGGATACACTGTAAGGAATTATCAATCCAAAGGGGCACTAAAGTTTTTTGAAGAGTGATTTGAAGCACGCAACATAACAGTAGACATGTGACTGGCACAATGCCAGTAAAGCATGTTAACAAAATGAGTCCACCCTGCTATATGATTACATTTGCAAAAAAGTTTGCAATACTCAGAAACAGTAACCAGACAACACATCCAGAGCCCACCAACAAGGAGAGGTTCAAGGTCCCTGATTCATATTAATAATGTTGGAGACTGGATCACTAGACCACCAGGGAGTTTCATGAGCTGCATGTGAAAATTACAATTAAGGTGGTTAGAGTCAGATACAGAATAAATGTGAGCAAATTCTTGACTTTAGTTACTGTATCTCTAGTATTTCTACCAGACACATCATTATCCAAAGCAACAGCCTTGAAATTTAAAAAGCATAAATAGAAATGTAGTTACTCATGTATGGTGCCTACACATTAAGAAAAAAAAAATCCAAGTAGAATTTAAGCATAAGAATTATATCTTCCTGTAACTGTGGTTATAGTGTTTCTTTAAAAGGATTCGAATTTCATGATGAAAAGTAATGGAAGCTAAAGATTATGAAAACCTAAAGTGAGCATTATCTAAGATGTATATAATGCACATTTGGTATCAGATGGTATTCCAAGGACTTCTCATAATCTGACCCCCTTTCTTAACTACCTTTGAGATGGGTACTATCCAATCCCCTTTTCACAGAAGAGAACGGAGAAACCCGGAGTCATAAGGGATATACACAGGGCCATAGTGCAATGCAGGGGTAGAGCTCCGACTGAAGCTAGCAGTCAGCCTAGTAGGTAACTACCAGGCGAGTCTCCCTCCCTCACTATTAACATCACTTGTGAAAATACTTACATTGTGTGCAAAATGTCCTTGTCTAAATGTAAAACAAAGCCATTACCTGTGAAAACACACAACTGGGCTCTGAGGAAAGGCCATGCTATCTCAAGAGTTGAACGTTTAAGAGAGAATACAGAACATAACTAACTAATTCCATCTACTGAGAACTATAAGGAAAGTTCCCTTTAAGGAAGGTCTGCTTACATAAACAGGCCATACAAGAGAGGTATGAATGAAGGAGAGAAGAGAACTCGTGAATCCAAGTGTTTGCTTCTAGTTCAGGAAAGACTGCAAGGAATAAGATCCAGGCATAGATGTAAAACCTGAACCCTACTAAAGGGATGCTCGTATTCCCCAGAAAAAAAAATGTTTTAGAAGAAAATAACTTCATATCTCTAGATGCCCAAGAAATGAACTGCCTATAGGGAATCTATTTTTTATATGTTCAATAAAATGACCATTTATCACAAACATGTAATAAAAACTGGACTGAAGCAAAGTCCAATATAAGTATTCACTCTATAATCTAGAACCACCCTTTCTAGGCATATAAAACCGTCCCTGGTTTTTTCTAAATATATGCAGCATGCCATGCACAACATACAAAACCAAGAGATAATTTACAGTAAACAAAGTAAGATTTCTCACAGATTTCAAAGAGTCAGAAACGTACCTTTTCAAACCCAACACTAACAGAGTTTACTTCCTATGTGAGTAACATGGCAAGTTAGTTCACAGGAATACTTTGAGATGAGAGCAATGAAGGAAACGATTTATTTGTACTGAAAACCACACTTTACATACAAATCACATACCTAAAAAAAAGGACCAAAAGGGTATGAGACTTATGCATAACAGGTCCAGAATTCGTTTCATTTTCTTTTACAAATGATTGCTAAACCTAAAAACTCAGACCACAAGTAAACTAACTTAAAGCCATTTTAGTGAATCATTTAGTATGCAGCTCCTTAAAAAAAGAAAAAGAAAAAAACCTAGCACTAGTCTGCTGCTGTAAATATAGTAAGAAGCAGCAGAAAACAAACCTTCTCCAAACACCTACAATAGGAAACATCTATATATACATGCCTTCAAAAACCAACACATTTTCTAAGAGATTTTAGGTCTGTATTGTTTCTCCACCCAGCCCCACCCTCCAAGGTAGTAGCTACAACCTACAAATAGGGGAAGCACTTAAATGCGATCAACTGTCAAGAAAAAAATAAACTTATGATCTCTATAAGAGGAAGAGCCCACTTACCTTGACACGTTTTCTGGAATGTATTCTAGGACCGGATATCCATCACCTCTCCTGGAGGCCACGTCGCCATGCGGTTTCCAGGACTCCACGAGAGTATTCACCGGCGGGAAGGAAGTCAGGTGTTGGAAAGACTGGTCTCTAGCGGATCGTGAGAGAGAGATTGTACCTTGAGCACCAATCCGGTAGTGAAAGGACTGTCCACCTGAATTCACGCCCACGATGGCCGAGGACGGGATGCTGGCCTCGGGGTAGTAGCTCCCATCGTCGGGTTCTTGCTTAATCCCCATGGGGAACCCGCTGCCCTCGCAGTTCCCATCAAAGCCCGGCACGGGGGGTCCTAAAATTCCTGATAGCGAATAATAGTCCTTATCATCCATAAAGGAAAAATACGAGCCATCCATGAAAGGAAACGGGTTGACCGGGGGGTTCCCTTTGAAAGCCGTGGCGGAACACGAGTGCTTGTTGGTTGCTTCTTGCTTGATGGGGACCGAGAACGGGGCATCGGGGGCCACTTTGCTATTTCCTCCTAGGCAGGAGCTGCCAAAGGCGCCCTCGGGCTCGGTTTTAATGCACTGGACAATGTTAAGCTGGCCCGCGGTCACCCCGTTGGAGACGGCGTTGTCCACCTCCTCGGTCTTGGGGAAAGGGACCTCGTGAGCACCTTTCTCGTGTGTGTCGGGGCTGGGAACCACATCCCGGGCGGCCCCGGGCCCGGCGGGGGTGCCCGAGGCCGCGTAGCTGAAGGCATTGTTGAGGGGGCTGCAGATAGATCCCACCGTGCTGGCCGTGGGACTGGACAGCGTGGACCTGTTATTGGCGTGGCTAGGGCTGGAAACGGAGCACCTGGAGTTATTGACGTTGGCCGGGCTGGACACCGACGAGCGCAGCGTGACGTTGTTGGGGCTGGACACGGGCGACTTGACGCTGCAGTGGCTCGGCGGGCTGGACAGGGGTGACTTCATGCTACTTAGGGGGCTGGACAGCGGCGAGCCCACGTTGCTGGCGTGCGCGGGGCTGTGCGAGCGGGAGCCCCGGCTCTCCACGGTCGGGGAGCAGGTGAGCGGGGTGCCCTGGGTGAGGGGGCTGTGCGCGGGGAAGCTGCCACCGAAGCTGGCCGACGTGGAGGACACGGAGTTGATGCCCGCGGGGCTGCACCCCGACGACGTCAGGTTCAGAGGGCTGCACCCCGACGGGCTCTTCTCGTGACCCAGGAGGGGGCTCTTCACCACGGGGCGCAGGGCTCCCCCGTTGACCGCACCCCCGGAGTCGGCCAGGAAGGCCCGCAGGGGCCGGCTGACCCCACCCAGGGCGGCCGGCCGGTGGCCGTTCTCTTTGTAGAACTTCATCAGCTGCTCCACGTTCGGGTAGAGCTTGGCGGGGCTCGCGCCGTCGTGGGGGTGCTGGGGGTCGTAGGCTGCATAGTCGGCCTCGCGCACCGAGTCCATGTACAGGCCCATGGACTCCGCCACGGTGGCCGAAAGTTCCTTGGACTCCAGCTCGGTCTTAATCTCCGAGGCTAAGATCCCAGGTCGGTGAGCGGAGTCCTGCTGGATGCAAGGGAGGAGCTCGGGTTTGTCTTTGCCGCCTCCCTGAGCACTGTCGTGTGGAATAGCACCGGAAACGCAGCTGACGTTGACAATCTCCATGCAGCTATTCTCCTCGGCCCTCTCGGCCCGCTCGCCGGGTCCCAGCGCAGGGCGGTCCACTTGCCCCCACCGTCTCTCCATGTCGAGACTGAGACCGTCGGGGAGACTGTGGTAGCCTTTGGTCTCCATAGCTAACAAACAAATGTAGATGAAAAGATTAAAGTCATTGACAGCAACCGTACTCCAAACGGCAGGGCCTAAGGGACAAAAATCCACATTCTGCTGCTTCCCAGCTAGCACTTGTGCTGAAAAGTGTTGCGTCCTTTGTAGGGGTTGACTAATGGGATATTGACTACAACTGCCCAAGAAGGGAGACTCTTAAGACAGCAATCCTAGCAGACTACTTTGCGGTTAAGGAAAAGCAACATCTTGCATCTAACAGACTTTACCTTCTGCCAAAGATAATTCACGCAAGTTGATTCATTTAATATACAAAGCAATGACATGGGTGATGGTGGTGGTGGTGGTGGTGGGGTGAAGAGGCAGGTAAGGAGGACACTGAGGGTTTCCTCAGGTGGGTAACTTGGCCAAGGTCAAAGACATGAGAAATAGTCAAGTTTGACTGCAGAGACCTTTGGAGTCTTTCCAGCCTTCAGGCAGCTGCTTTCCATATCTAATACATGGCTTGGTGAAAAACAAGAAAACGCAATTAATGTTACAAGTTCCCATTATAAATATTATCAAGTGAGCTATCATCAGGGGGAAAAAAATCCATCTTTCAAAAACAAGACTTTTTAAAAATGGATTAGTGATGAGGTTCAGTGAATACTGAAGAGTCAAGTCTGTTGGATCCCGATGGTCAGGGAGCAAGAACCTCGGGAGGAGGCCCTGGGAACATCCTCATCTCTCTCCCCGACAGCCTGCCGCTAGATACCCCCACCCGAAACACTCCAGGCAGACAGGCGCTTTTTATTCTCAGCCGCCAGTGGAAGATGCTGGAGATGGATCCTGACAATTTATGTGTTCATTCATTCAACAAATATTTACCAAGTGCGTGCTACACCCTGGGCCTACAACTAGTCACTGAATCTACAATGATAAACAGAAGAGGCATAAGCCCATCCTCTGGAGCCCACAGGATTGCCTCAGATATACAGTCCAATCCACTGGCTCTTGACCCACATGGGGTGCAGGGGCAATGATTACAATAGGCTGGACTTATAGACATTTTACATTTTGGACAGTAATTATAATAGGCTGCATTTGGTAATGCGTGTCTTAAAGAATTCAATGCAATGGTTACAAACCTTTCCCATGCCTTATTTATACTTATAAGCCTAAGTCCAGTAATGCTGCTAAAAGTATCTAAATGGTCCAAGTGAGGAAACTGAGGCATGGATTACACAACTAAGTGACAAAGATGAAATCTGACTTCCAGGTTCTTGTCTACACCAAGGTATCTCAGCCTGGCACCCCGCCATTTGAGACAGGGTAATTTGTAATATCCTTGGCCCCTATGCACTGCACGTCAATAGCATTCTTGCTTTCCATTTCCCCAACTGTGATAACCTGTACACCTCCAAATATGGCCAAATGCTTTTGAGGGCAGGCGGGCACGCGCACGCGCACACACACACACACACACACACACACACACGCACGCACCTTGAACACCATTCCAGAGAAACTTGAGAAGCCAAATCCACTCATTCACAGTAAAATTGTATTTGTACATTTCAAGGTAGAAAATGCCTACAGTCTTTATGGTCATATTTCCCAAATCCTGGGTAAATAATCTATGATTCAAACAAAAGGTTCCTCATGGCAAAGATGCCATTCCTAGAGCTCTGAAGGCAATGACGACTTTTACTCTCTCATCCTTGCTACTCCCAAGGATCTCCATGTTCTCAACTTTTCCCCTCATTTATAAAATAGAGATGAGGGAGACTTTCTGGTAGAGAAACTGTATTAACGTGGGAGAATTGTCTCACAACTGTACTAAATTGGCAGTAGAGAGTGCCAGGCTCTATAAAGAAATTGAATGCCTCGATTGGCCAAGTGTTGTAATTACCTCTAACTTTACAGCATTTTAAACTAGACCTTATGTTCTGCAAGGGCAGGAACCATTTCAATTCCACCATCACGGTCCCTTCAGCCAGCAGGGAAGGGACCTTCCCTTTTTAAAAAATTAGCTATTTTAATCACGATGCCACAATTTATAAATAATACTAAAGCCCACCAATTGCGTAGCATATTTACTTTTACTTGACGAACATTATTCTAAAATTCCTCATTCCAAACCAATCACAAACTAGAAGTAAGTCAAGGGCCAAACTCTGAGGTGCCGGGGCTGTTCATTCTGGCTGAAAAGGCTTTCAAATGGATGAAAGCCAAGAGTTGAAAAAATATACATATAATAAAATGAGACCTAATAATAATAAATGAGGCCTTTACTATTTCGCTGGACAACCCATTTATAATCATCAGTTGAAAAACACCAGTAAATATTATGTGCATCAATCCTGAAATATTCCAGCTTCCTGAATATTTTGGGATTTCAGATATATTTCATATCAAACCCGAATGGATGGATCTCTGAGGTGGAGATGTTTTCAAGTCCAAAGTTACTAAAGTCCATTCATTCTCTCCCCTAAACCCACATGCCCTATACCAGCCTCAACTTGAAATGTCTAAATGTCCCCCTGGACCAAAGCCTCTATAACTGCCATGCTTCCCACTCCCAAGGCTGCAGCTCAAGCTCCCAGCCAACAGGCTTTTCACTCTGCCTCCACTGGGAAGTAGAGCCATGCCAGATCCTCTCCAAAACTCCATCCTCCAAATTGCCTTTTGGAAAGGAAGAGGCTGGACTCCCTATGCCTTTTCACAGGGTCAATTTGCAATGCTAAAACTCCAGGGAAGTTCCAAAGCACCAAACCAGTTTCCTTTGTAATCTGAGTTCTCTAAATAACTTGGCTCCTGGACCCTATCTTCACAGAACACCTACCTGGATTCTGAGAGACTTCTCATCCTTTGGCCCTCAAGCCGGAGCCAGCCAGATTTCAGGACAGAGGGTAAAAGGGACTCAGTATGGGAGAAGGCAGGCAAGGGCACTCCAAGGCACCTCACCAGGAAGCAACTTATCAGTTACCATCATGCAGCTGATCGCAACTTTCCAAGTCCTGTTTGGTTAGCCTTGAACTCTCTTACCAATAACATAAAGCAGCTTGCAATTTCACCACATTATTGAATTTGCCAATGGGTTTCTTAAGTCTAAATTACCCCTTTAAAATCCTCTCCTCACCTACCAACCGAATGCACCTTTCAACCAAGAAAATGGAGCAAAGGTTGGCAACAGTCAAACACCACAGAATAGAGAATTGGAGGCATCTTTCTGCCTGGCTTCCAGAGCAAGCATTTTGAAAAGACCCAATTTATTAAAAAAAAAAAAAACGAGTTACTGAAACAATTTTAGGCTGAGTTCCCTATTATTTTAACTCATCTTCTCTATAAACAAATGAACCAGGTTAGGAATTTATTTCCTATGTTGTCCAGGAAACCAGGCTTGTATTTTTGGAATCGGTATGATGGCCATGCCTTGAGCAGAATTTCAGTCAACCTGAACGTAAGTAGCAAAGACTGAAACTCTTACTAGATGAACTCAGGGCTTCCTGTCGAACTCGCTCTCCAGAGTATCTGGAGAAAGTTTTCCTTACTAACCTTGAAGATGAAGCAGGTATCACCAATCTAACTGGTATAAAATTAAATCAGACTCCCTAACAATGAGAACTGCAACAGAGACTTTGGGGACAAAGATGGGACTCCTTGATTTTCACGGAAATAACTCCAAAAGTCAAAAGAAAGTTTCAAGAGAGGAGAATTACCGATAGAAATATGTTGTGAAGTCATAAACATGCTCTTAACCATCATTTATGAATAGGAAAATGATTAATATATATATTTCTTTTTATGGTCCTGTTTCAAACTGCCCTTTTCCATAAAGGAAGTTCCCTCCTCCCCTGCCCCCAATCAAGATTAATAGACCATATTAATATTTTTCCCAGGAATAGTAAAATTCTTGCAAATTGGCATTTTTTCTACAACGCTTTCATTTCTAGTGTTCCCCATCCAAGCAGAGTCCCATTTTCAACATAGCATTTTCTATAGTTATTTAACGATCCTATGGAATCTTGAAAGCTGGACTTAAAGAATTTCTTGATTTTCACCGGTTGCAGAGAGGCAGAAGTTGCCTGCATGGAACAACTTTTCCCGTCATCCCTACTACAGAAAATATTCTTTCACTCGCCTTCTTTTATAGAGGTGGTAAATGATAGAAACCGGCTCAAGGTCACCCAAGAGAGCTGGAGAACCAGTTCGAACTGAGCACACCTGATTTCTATTCACTCACCTAATTCACCAGCCACCTGATCTTTCCTAAATCCCCAAACAAAACTATTTCTTTCTCCCTTAAAGGAAAAAGTTCCCCTTTCCCTGTTTTAAAACTTCTCTTCTCAAACATGTGCAGGAGAGCTGGCCATGAAGGCGAACATCTAAATTCAAACTTCACAGGAGAAATTCCCAGATGGAGCAGGACTCTCTTCAAATACCACAAACACCTCGGAGAGACAGGCAGGGCTATACAAATGTTGAAACGCAATGTTAAGCAAATCAGCGGGTTCCCAAACCTGTCTACTAGCAAATCGGTCCCCTGGCTCCTACATTAGAATAAAGCGTTAAACGTGGTGGTGCCCTTATGATTTAAACCTGACCCATTAAAAGTCCGTAGCGAGCGCCAGATACTGGACTTGAGCAGGAAAGGCAAGGATGCCACCAAAGGTAGCTTCTTCCCCTTCTCCCCAGCCCTTTAAACTGCCACTGATGCCACCAGAGAGCAGAGCCTCTCGGAAGAGTTTCGGCAGTATTAGGGAAGGGAATGCCAGCCTTTTCAGAAGCCCCTTCCCACGGGATCCAGCCGATTCTGCATCTCCTTCAATTGCCCTTATCAGCTACACCTCCAGCTGAGATTTGGGTGCTTCCGCAACTGATAGAGGCAATGAAATATTATTCAAACGTCCTTTCGGATCTGCACCGGGAAACCGGGCTGACATTCACGTTTGGGGAAAGGGAAGGCTCGTAGACCTCCCACTGCCAAAGGCGGTTTGAAAGCTGCTCCTTAAAGGGCATTTATCCAAAGTGCCCAAACTTTCCCAAAATAGTCCTCTGGCGGCCAAAGGGGGGGAAAAGTGGAAAACCAAAACAAAACAACAAGCACACAGAACCATACTGCCTATGCCTCCGGATTACGCAGCTACTTCTCCCTGCAAAGTGCACGCTCCCGCGCCGCGGCCGCCAGCCGAGCCCGGCGAGCGGCACCCCGCCGCGCACCCCTACACACCTGCCTCGGCCGGGGTCCGTCGCTCGGCGTCTACCTGTTGCAGCGCTCGCCTACGCCACGACAACCCTGCAGCGGAGCCCCCCTACATCCAACCACATCCAGGCCAGTGAGCGCAGCTCCCCCTGCAGCAGGAGAGCCCGAGACGGCAACGCTCTTGCACCCAGGTGACTGCCCGGGCTCCCTCCGAGCAGCCTGAAGTTGGCCAGCTTCTCCCCCGTCCAATGACACCCCGGGCACCGAGGGACGGAGAGGAGGGGACGGAGAGGAGGGGGCGGGGGCAGGGGCGGGGGCAGGGCCGGGGAGGGCGAAGAAGGGAGGGAGAGAGGGAGAGAGGGCGGGCGAAAGCCCGGAGGGGGAGTGGGCAGCTAGAGGGCTGGCCCTTTTAAAAGCGGGTCACATGTCCACATAAAGTTCAGGTTGCTAGCCCGCCCCGCGGAGCCCGTCCCATTGGCCCGGAGGGAAGCAGGGCTCCACGCTGCACAAGTCAAGCAGCTTCCTCATTGGACGCTCCCGGCTGTCAATCACCGGGAGGGCGACATGACTGATACAAAGTTGCTGCGACACAGCCTGGACTCGGCAGCTCCCTTAAAGCCGCAGCAGCGGCGGGTGCTGTGGGGTGCCGGGCAGCGGCCAAGACAGTCGACATCAGACCCCTCTCCGCCCGCTGCCCCTAGCCGTCCGCGCTCGGTCGCCCCCAACTTGCGCACTCACGCCCACCTGGCTCTCCTCCTGCCCGCCCCGGGGAGGGTCTCGCAGGACGTGAAAAGTGGGGTGACGCGGAAGTGTCTTTTCCCAGTGCAGTCAAGGGGGTGTCCCCCTCACGTTTTCCACCTGCAGCGCCAGGTGAGCGGCTGCCCGGCCCCAGGCGCCGCCCCCCAAGCCCCTCCCCGGGTCTTGCGTGCTCAGCCGACCTGAAGGTGGGATCCCCGCGAGCCCCCCGAACCCCGAGGCGACGCTCCGCGCCCCTTTCTTGGGGCTGCCGAGTTACCTCTCAGCCGAGCAGCCGCCGCGTCCGCTGCCAGCGAGCAGGATCGCGTTCCCACTCGATTTGAATTTCCTCGTTTTAAACGTGCAAGGGAAAGTGGGTGATTTCGGTGCAGCCGAAGCCCTTTAAACACACCCTCTCTGTCACCCCCACCCAAACAGGAAAAAAAAAGTGTCGGGGTCAAGAGCTGCGAGCTCTCCTTCCTTACATTTTGTGGCCGTATTTACAACTTGAGCATTGGATTTTTCCACTCGTTCCATTGCTATTCGAGGAGATTCACTCCTCTCCGGTGGGTGGGAGGGGTGCACAGAACTGGGAGAAATCTATAGGGAAGGGGGAAGGAGCCAGTTGTCTAAGGATCGAGCGTCTGCAAGAAGAAATTTCGGTTTCCCTCCAAACGCCCCCACCTCCACTCTCCACCCACCCACCCAAACGCTGGAGTTACTAACCCAAAGGACGAGCTTCTTAACTTTGATTTTTCTATGCACTTTGAGGATCCGCGTTGGAGACTCCCGGCTGAGGCTCCCGGCTGGCCCGGAGTCAGCATCAGTGACGTACACACCTAAATCTGGTCCCCCGGCCCTCGGCGACCCGCAGCCCGGCGGCGGCAGCTGTGCAACCGCCCCTGTCACCCCTGCCCTGCACCCCCCGCCATGGTCGGAGGGGCCGGGGTCACCCCGTCCGTCCCCACCCCCCTCCCCCAAAGGCCCTTCTTCTTACAATGAATTAAGCTTCGGGATTCCAGACCCTGGACCCGGGGACAGTCTAACTCTCGCTGGCTCCAATTGGGAACTCCCCCCCACTACACACACATACACACACACACGCACACACGCACGCACACACCCCGCCGCGGGGGACCACAGCGCTGGCGCCTCGTCAGCTGGTCCCGACCCCGGACTCCCGGTGTCCCCAGCAGTCCCCGGCGCGGAGCGGCCCCTTGGCGCCCCTGCAGCCGGGAGTCCCCGCCAAGTGTCCCAACTTTCCCGCGGGGCCCGGGGTCACGCGCACTCTCCGGGCCCCCACGGGCAGGCGGGCATCGATCGCCCCCAAGCCGGGCGGCGGGGCCGGAGCCAAAGCAGCCGGGGACCTGGCGCCGGGGCGCACGAGGCGGCGGCGGCTGCGCCAGGCGCTGCCCAACTGTTCAGTTATTAAAGGAATGGACGTGTCTCTTTTACTAAGTTTTCACCTCCTGGGCGGAGGGCCGCTCCTGCCCTGGATCTTTGCTTCTGGCCACAATCTAGGTTAGCACCGAGCCGGGGCAGCCGCCCTCGGCGACTCACCCCGCGCCCCGGCACCCCGGACCCGGACGCGGCCGGGGGCGGGGAGGGGAGCACCCTCCATCCCACCTCGCGCCGCCACCCCGAGCCGGTGCGCAGCCCCTGCCATCCCCGGGGCCTCCCCGGCGCTCCCCCGGCCCCCGCCCTCCCGCGTGAGCGCCAAGTGACAGTCGCTGCACTCACCTTTTCTAGGACATGGTGGGGCGGCCGGGGCGCAGGGCGGGGGGCAGTAGAGGGGCGCAGCCGAGACTCCCGCCGCTGCCGCCGCCGCCGCCGCCGCCGTCCCCGGCAAGTCCGCTCGCAGCCGATCGGCGGCGAGGATGGAGAGGATGACAAGCCGGGCTGGCGCCCTCCCTGACGGTGGGTAGCGCGGGAGAGCTGGAGTGTGGACACCCCGCAGCAGGAGGCGAGGCGACCGCGCCAAAGCGCGCAGAGGGGGCCGCGGGCAACCGCCTGCCCCCAGCAGAGCCGACCGGGCCTCGGGCGGGCCCCTCTCCGCCCCCCCACCCCGGGGCTGGAGTCTCCCGGGGGACCCGGAGGCGGGGGCTGGACGCCGGTGGTCCTGCAGGGAGCCGCCAAGTCCTAGGGGCGAATCCCGCGCCCGCCACCCCGCAGCGCGCCTCTCTGCGCCCCCTCCCCGGCCTGGGGTGGCCGGTGACAGCTCGCGCGGCTGAGCCTGTGTGATTGTGTGTGTGTGTGTGTGTGTGTGTGTGTGTGCGCGCGTGTGTGTGTATATGTGTGTGTGCGCGCGTGTGTGCGCGCGCGCGTGTTGAGGGGGCGGCCGCAGGGGGAGCCCGTGGCGCCTCGGCCCCCTCCCCGGGTCACACCCTCACCGGCGGGAGGAGGCGGCCCAGCGTCCAGCCACCGGCGGGTGGCACCGCGCTCCCACCCTGGCCAGCAGCAGCCGCTCAGAAGCCGAGGAGAAACCCAAGCCCCGAGCATGTCCCCCGTGCAACTCCCCCCGCGCCCCCTCCGGGTCCGGCCGTGACCCCCGTGCCCTCCCCCCTCCCACCGGCCTCAGGTGCAGGCGCCTCCCCCCCACCCCGCTCCCCGACCTCCCGCGGGCTGGGGGGAGGCGCGGGCCCGGGAAGCGCGCTCAAGGGGCGGGAGGGAAAAGTTTCTTTTCCTGCTCGCTGGCCGCCCACCCCTGGAGGCTGCCCTGGCCCCCCGCGTCCCGCCGGCCCCGGGCATCGGGAGCGCCTCTGCCCCACCCCCACCGTGGGGGGAAGAAGGCAGCGGCGCCCGGGAAGGACGCGGGGTGTCGGTTGTGGGGGGGGGGGTCGGGAGCGTGGGGAGACTGGCGGGGCGCGAGGGTCCCCCGGCGCTCAGCGAGCCCGGGACGGGGCCGAGCTTCAGGCCCCCTCCCGCGCTGCGCCGCGCGCCCTCGCGCCGCGCCGCGCGCCCCCGCGCCCTCGCGGGCAGACACCTACGCAAACGCGAAAGTGAAAGGGGCGGGGGGTCGCGGGAGGGGGCCGCCGGCGGAGTTGGGACCCGGGATCCGGGCTGCCTCCAGCTCCCGCTGCCCAGCGGAGCCGCTGGCCGCCCTCGGGCACTGCCGCGTCCCCTCAAGTCCCACGTTCCCCCCCCCCCACCCCACAGTGCTCCCCACCCCACCCGCGATATATTGGCGTGTTCGCGCGTGGTCAGGAGCTCCCATGTATGTGACAGTCACCTCCAGTCCCCGGTCTGGGCACCCTTATGCTCACCCGGGATGGAAAACAGTGGGGTGTGCGGGGGCAGAGGGGTGCATTCAAAACGTTCCTACCACTAGCTCCCCGGCGTCCCGTCCTTTAGAGCTCAGTTAAAACCCAGGAACTGACCGCACACACCCCTTTCCAAGTTTAACACTCCCTTTTCTACAGGTTCTATTGGTTCCCACCTCCCCCCACCCCCACCCCCTGGGTGTTTTCCCGTTGTTGTCGGTTGTGGTTTTTGTTTTTTTTTTTTTTTCCCTACTTAAATAGCTGCAAAAGTTGCTGATCTCTTCCCACACAAAACCGTGTTAAACGCGGAGCTGCGCTGTTAAAACAATCATGCTTTTTCTCCAACCACATTCCCACCGTCCGAATATCCCTAAGCCTTCATCACCCACACGATGTTGGCGCGCGTCAGTTCTTAGATGGCTATAGAGGCGGCATTTTAGCCTCTGGCAAAATCATCTTTGGTCGGCTTCCTTTTTTGTTGGGACGCGAAGTTAGTAAGATATTAGGTCCCAGGTAAAGTCAAGAAAATGATAAGTAATGTATTTTCAAAATGAACATGTTTTTATTATCTGTTCAATGCACTTAAAAAAAAACCCTTCATTTCAAACTGTACTGATTGCAAAACGTGAATTTTGAAATGCATCAAAAATCACTCTGCAGTGACATTGGTGGATCGGAAGGATGGACCAAGAATGGATGGTTCTGTGCAAAATGTATATATATATGTTACAATAGCAATGGCAAAAACTAGATGATGGGTGCACCCTCTAAAATTCTTTCACCTTTTAAGCAGATTTGAAATGTTTCATAATAAAATGTGCAAGTACAAGAATCCTCTATGTTCACATTGACTGTAACTTCTGTTTATAAAATTGGTAAATTAGGCATTGATTATTCATTTCCCCTTTCCACAATGATTTAACATAAAAATCATTTAATCTAGTATGTCACCAATGGACTAATCAATAATTTCCACTGCCAACAAATTGTCAAGGACCAGACAAAATGGTGCAAAAAGTACAGCTGTTGAAACCTGCAACCTTTTAAAAAACCTTTTTTTCCTGTGCTTTTTTGGTTTGTTTTTCTAGTCCATTTTCAAATTTTATTCTTTCCTGCCCTCAAAGCAGCTTGATACTGAAAACCTGAAAGGCTGATCACTTTCCAATATTCTTATGAAACTTTTTTCTCACCAGGACAATATCAAGTGGAGGTGGGTAACAACTGTAGCCCTAACATGTGCTTCTATTAAGGTTTGGGACTCCCTTTTCTTAGGGTTAGGGAGAGTTGTTAGGGGACCTTGCATTATGAATAGGCAAAACTTGGTTATTTGGTTATCTGAATCCTTAGGTATTTTGCCCACACATGTGTCAATTGACTTTCCCTCATTATTTTCTTTTGCTGGCTTTATGCAAGACATGGTTCTTTGCCACCCTAAAAGGAGAGCAGAGGACGAGGATAAGGTCTGTGGCTTCCTCATTTGAAGAGAAGCTGGCACTGATTTTGCTTGGGATCACCCCATGAGCAGTACTTTGGAGAGACTTCATCAAAAATGAGGTGCAAAATTTTCTGGTTGGTCCATATACTCTTAATTTCAATGCCCATTAATAAAGAGCAATGTTTAAAAAAAAATCGACACTTAGGAAATGTCATTTTGGGCTTGTATTTTTTAAGCTCTCTCTTAACAGGATTCTTTTTCATCTTTTAGCATATTTTTCCTTTGCAAAACCCTGACTATTTGTCTCTAAGAAAAATTAAAATGAAGAAAGGAGAAGGAACGAAAGGATTTTAATTTCATGTGCAGTTGTTGGAGACTGTTTACAGCTGCTTGAGAGTCTTCAATCGTAGAACAGGATGAGCTCCCTCTCTCTTGACAACCACCCTTCACAGTCCCCTAGCCTCAGGACACCTCCCTTGTCCCATTAGTGTCACACTCCCTGAGGTTTGCCACCACAAAGTGCCCGACTCAGCGTTTGCAATTTACATGTGTGACATCACATCCTCTATTATGTAACTTCAGATACAAAGCCTAATAGCATGGAAGTTTGTGCTGGGAAAAAAAAAAAAAACTCCCTTGCTCTGTATTTCAGCTTCAGCAGAGCCACCCCTGAGTTGCCAGATCCTAATCCCATTTCTTCAAACAGCTGACACTGGTGGGGGAGTTAGGGAATGGCAGGGAGTGGCTTCAACTGTGAAATCATCAGCCCCAAACAAAACAAAACACAACAAAAAGAATATATTTTGAAGTGTCTTAAATACCACTCTTTTGTCTATTTACTGTCAAGAAAAAAACATTGGGCATTCTAGAATTGCATTTATTAATTGTTTTAAAGTTTAAGGGTAAGCATTTGGTCATAGTTAACTTCATTTTTAAGCCTAGCCAAGCTAGCTTTATTTTTTTCTAAAAAGCTAGGCTTCCCCCCACCCCCTTCTGTCTCTTACCAGCTGTTGGAAAGAGTTGAGAAAGAGAGAGAGAGAGGAGAGAGAGAGAGAGAGAGAGAGAGAGAGAGAGAGAGAAGAAGAAAGAGAGAGGAGGGGGTGTTGGAGAGGGGAGATGAATAGGGAGTAATATAAGATAGAACTTCTTCTTTGTTTATTGCAAAACACACATGTTACAGTTTATAAACATCGCAAGCAAATAAGACATTGTGGACCAGAAGAGAAATAGAAAACATATCAGGGTTTTTGTGAATATTCAAAATAGACCAAACACAATTTTCTCGATGACTTGGAATATTTTTATTAGCTTTGGTTATTCATTAATTTCTGTGTTTGTTTACCTAGCTATTTATTCATCTGTCTACCTTAATTCATTTGTAGTCATTTGAAATAGAAAATACACAAACCTAATACATTTCGATGGCCAGATTTTGCAATGACAGAGCACCAAACAGCACATGCATCACAATTAGAATGCCATATTATTAGAAGCAAATCAGATTTCACTGTGCCTACACTGAGGTTCTAAATTTAGAAATAATGTACAGTAGTTGCAAAGGGGACCTAAGAGCAGTATGTATTCATAAAAATAAAGATAGTTTCCATTTCTCCTCTTTTTCTCTCCTCTTTCTTTGTGGTTTAGTACAGGAAATTCATCACCTTTAAATAACTGTGCTAATCTTACATAAATAACTGCATGGTTTGTGCACTCATTAGGATTATGCAGCCAGGCTGTTTCTCTGATATTATGTGCAATAACAACCACAGAAAAGTGAAACAATCCAGTGGGTCAGGTGTGGGAAACATAAGAGTCTCTGTTGAACTTGATGAAAACTCATTTAGAAATTCTCATTAGGACTTCACAGGAGCAGTTAGCTTTTCAGTAGTTGGCACTATATTTTTAGCAGCATTTTAACAGCTGCCAGTAACAACTAAGACAACATTTTGATCAACACTATTTTTTTTTAATTCTAACAAAGATGGTTGCAAAAAGCAAAATGCTTCTTGATTTCAATGTCTGGCTTTGACAACAAGAAGAAAATATTTTCTTGTGATATAAAATGTTTATGATGCATCAAGGGCAGGCACTAAGGTAACCATGTTAAGATGGGACCAAGTGAATGTTCGCATTTTCATTTTCTCATGCCAGTGTACATATAATAAACATGATTTCATTCTTAAAAGGT